CGAGACGCATCGAGGTTCCCCGGCCCCCCTCCATCGAGGAGTTCACCATCGTGAAGCCCATCAGCCGCGGTGCCTTCGGGAAGGTGTACCTGGGCCGCAAGGCGGGCAGGCTCTATGCCGTGAAGGTGAGGGACTGCGAGGGGCGCCTCCCTGCCCCCTGCGGCCCTCGGGGCCCTCTCGCTGCCTGCTGTCGCGCCGCTGCCGCCCTCCGCTTTCCTTTAACCCTGTGTGGGAAAGGGGCGTCCCGAGGGGAAAGAGGCGCCCCGCTGAGGCCTGCCCTGGCGTTAGCCCCTCAGCCTTCCGGCTCTCGGGCTTTTGGGGAGCTGCCGCCCTTCTGGCAGAAGCCTGGGGCCTGGAAGGTGTGTTGTCGTCATGGCTGCGTTTGGCTTTCTCCTCACGTTCCTGTTCGTCTGGAGGCTCTGGTTAGGAGGCGTATGATAATGACATCTGCTTTTAGAAGTACCTTAAATGTTGAAGAAACTACATCAAAAGCGTTCCAAAGCGTCAGGGTGCTGTTTGCCTCTTGCCTGTAAATGCTTGTTATAACTGAACACATTCAGCTGTGATGCCACTGGGAGGGCATTCTCACACTTGTTCGTGAATGAAAAGGCTGCCTGTGAGATGTATAAAGAGAACAAATTACAAAAAGGACTTTTGCTGAGTACACATTTAAAAAAAAAAAATCCCACAACTGTTGCATTTTCTATGTTGATACACAAAGGATTAAAACCTGGGCTTGTTAGTAGTAAAAACTTTACCAATGGTTTGTGCAAGCTTGACTATGCAATTAAAAGGATTGTAACCAGCTGCATAGTACACAAAGAAAAGGAAATGTAAAAACAGTCATGTGAAATAGATGTTGCTGTTCAGAGCTATATATGTCTATTATTATAAGCACTTGAGGTGAAAGCTTTTGTGGAAATCCTTTATTGCAGTGAAGTTTATGGATTGTTCACAGCTACAGCATGTAACATGCTAAAAATTAGTACACTTAAGGTCAGCACTTAAGTGTGTAGTTCTGTGCATTCTGTGTATGTCTTGGAATTTTTCTGTATCAGCCTTGATAATAGTGATGGTAGCTGGGGAAACTAATTTTCTGCAGTTTAGGTGCTGCATATAGAGTGGTTCAGTTGCCTTACTTTAGTATCTTATATAAGTTTAGTCAAAGTATTGTGACCTAAAAGCTTCTGTGTAAATCCTTTATCCCTACTGCAGTGAGACTTACAGATTATTCAAGCTACTGAATCTAACATATGCTAAATATTTTCTACAGTTAAGGTCAACACTTAAATAGAAGGTATCAAATTATATTTTTTATGTCTTGGTATTTTTATGTGTTATCAAATTCTGTTATTGAATGGTGGTGGTAGCTGTAGACTCAACTCTTTACAGTTGTGTTGCATAGAGAATGGATAAATTAAACTTGCTTTAATATCACCATACGTACCAGACCAAAGCTGTTGAAGGTGGGTGAACTTCCAATGTGTGTGCAATGCTTGCCTAAATACCTACCTATTATGCATCTTCTATTCAAGATTACTGTTGAGTGGGCATCAACATATAGTGGAGTCATTTAATACAGGAATTAGGGCTTAATTCACAGTTAAGCTTGTTACTTCTTTATTGTGAGTTGCATGCCTTTGAGGCTTCTTCCCAAAAAAAACCCCAAATATTTGCTGGATGACTTGATTGTAAATTTTAAATTAATCAAAAATGTACTTGCTTTCTCTGCAAAGTTAAGAATTAAGAGGCTGGAATAGTTGTAGTCTTGCGCTTGAGGATACCTAGATGGGATGGCTTACTGCTGTACTCTATTTTCAGTCCCCAGGCCATATATCTCAGCCTCTGAAGAGATGGAAAGACTTGGTCAGCAAGTGTACATCTAAGCATTGAACACTTTTTCCTGGTTCTGAGTTGTGTACTGTGGATAACAGGATTAACTCAGGGCAGCTTAATTTCAGATACAGACTAAACACTCATTTTCCAGTGTGTGCAACTGTGGTAATTATTGGTTGTGTGATTTCCGTTCAGGACTGAATTAGAAGGAGAGCAATGAAAATGTTCTCTAATAACCTGTGATTTAAAATTCTGTCTGTATATGAAGTTATAGCTCTGTTTTACATGTAAGTGAGCAAGTTTGGAGTATAGAGATAAATGAATTAACTGAAGAACTGCGAAAAGAAGATAATGTTAATCTACTTGATTTTGTTTTGTTTTTCAGGTGATGAAAAAAGCAGACATGATCAACAAAAACATGGTTCACCAAGTCCAGGCAGAGAGGGATGCACTGGCTCTCAGTAAAAGTCCTTTCATTGTGCACTTATACTACTCACTTCAGTCAGCTAATAACATCTATTTAGTGAGTATATAAATAACTGTGGTGTTTTATGATAGCATTGAAAATGGAGCACAGAACTATATTCGTGTCTGAAAGCGTATTTTTATGGTAGTGAGTGAGTGTTCCTTAGTCATTTTTACTTTCTTCTTTCTCAGAATGGTTGAACAAGTGAAATATTTCTCTTCCCCTGGTACCTTTGAGATCTTTCCACCTGTGTTTCCTCTTTGCACAGGAGAATCTTTTCTAATAGCTAATCTGTTTTAGGAATATGTGGAGAAACCTTAGGGAAAACAAAGTAAGAAACCATTCTGTTCAAGCGGAATCCAAGTGACTGAAAGATACTCTGTGGCTCACTTAAAGGAAATCCATTTTACGTGTTGCCTGTGCTCAAAATTCATTATGGTAATTGGCTTAGATGACAAGAGGATAACTGAGTGGCAAAACTAAGTGCTAGTCTACACGGAGCAATGTGGAATACAGTAGGACTTGAATGTGGTTTTATATACTTCCCCCTTATAAAGGTAGGCATTGATTAAGACTGTCTACAAAGGATCTGGTGTAATTTGTCTGGCTTGCTGTAAGCAAACACAGTGAACAGCTTGATTAAATTCTGAGGAGAGGTTGCTAAGCACTCCTACAATGCATTTTGAGTGCAAACAAAGGCTTCTTTTCCTGGAATCTCTGTTTACTATGTGGAGTAGAGGAGTTCAGGATGAAGGATTTGTAAAGGAGATGCTAGAGCCATATATGCGGAGTAGTATTGTATATTGGAATCTAAGTATTGGTGAGGTTTCTTGATCAAAACCTCATAAATTTGATCTTTCATTGAAGAGTGAGTTTCTGAAACTCCACTGACTTCTATCTTGAATATGACATGACCCATAGTAATGTGTAGGTTTGCATAATTTTTGTGGATGGGTGTATTTTTTGAAACACTTTTTCATTTCTTAAATGCGCAGTAGCTCTCACTGTATGTGTTTCTGGAAATTTGCACTTATTTCACAAGGCTCAGCTCTGAAATTAATATTGTGTATAAACACTTGCCAAACAAAATCATTGAGATCACTGATATTTTGATTTGTCTTGAGCAGGTGTCTTTGGCTTCAGTCCTTGAGTTTCACAGAAGTGCTTTGCAATTTATTTTCTATAATATAGAAATCTTCCAGAAGTTAATTAAAAAAGCTAACTACCGTAGTTATTTGAGAGCTGACTACAGAAAGTAGGCTAGGCAAATAATATAAAATAAGTAAATGGTCTATTAAAAGAGAATGCTTCATTTCTTCTTTCATCTGAAGCTTTAATTGTTTTATCCAAGTGAAAAGTATCATGTGGGAAACAATAATTTTGCTTTTGAAATTATATTTTTCTAGGGGTGAAAGCTATTTTATCTTTTACTTGCAAACTTGAAAGATGTTTTTAAAATGTTAAATTTAAAACGCTTGAATGGCAGGTGATGGAGTACCTTATTGGTGGCGATGTCAAATCTCTTCTCCATATTTATGGATATTTTGATGAAGAAATGGCTGTTAAGTATATTTCTGAAGCAGCATTGGCTCTTGACTATCTTCACAGGCATGGGATAATCCACAGGTAAAACCTACTTTTTTTTTTTTCTTCCAATTAAGTATTTGGTAGTTTGGGTTTTTATTTTTTCACTCAAACATACAACCAATGCCCATTTCATAGTAACAGCTTCCTCATTTGCTAGAGCTTCTGGAATCTCTTTTTGTATGTGTACACTGCAGCACTGCATGAAACAACACCTAAAATAAAATCAGTGTGTATATATTTTAAGCAGACAGATACACATTGCTTTCCCCTGCTTGCGTGCTCTCTCCCAGTACAGTGATGTGTTAGCAACTATGCTGCCTTCTAGGTCCCCTTTCCCTGTGGCATTTAAATGACTATTAGTTCGGGAACCCTCTGGATACTGCAAGCATGTAACTGTAGGACAAAGGGATGTTGACTACTCTAATGTTCCCCCTGTAGTGAGAGTTCTTTGCTGCATTCAGTAGTGGCACAGAGAACATGTGAAAACTTACTAGAGGCTTGCTTGTCATGCATAGGAGCTACATATTGGTAAATGTTGTGATGGTAGTACTCATGAAGAACACTTGTTAAACCTGCTGAAAAACAAAATGTGCCACTCTTGTGACATACATGGTGGTTTTACAAGGCCTGAAACATTTGTATATTTAGTGCTAGATGAGTTTAATTGTTTTGGGGTATTCCTCCAATTGGAATCCTCTGCTGGCTAAGATATGTTATTGAGAAACAGCTATGAACAATGCTTTTTATTGAGTGTTTTGGTCAGTTAATTTTCTTAATATTGCTCAGTTGTCTTTTTGCTGACTTCAACTATATTAATGTCTTCAGGGATCTGAAGCCAGACAATATGCTCATTTCTAATCAGGGCCATATAAAGTTGACAGACTTTGGGCTTTCCAGAGTTACTCTGAACAGAGGTAAGAGTTGTCTGTATGTTTCTGGCTGCATTAGAATGGTTTTTTTGTGTGTCATGTTCCCATATTATTTAATGATTTACATCCCTGTAGAGGCTTTCAATTAAATAAGCCCAAATGTTGCACTAATACCTGATTCCTAGTAGGTAAGAACGGATAAGGTACATTCTAGTAAAGAGTCTGCTCTATGCATTGCAATTCAGAAGCTAAAACACTTATTCTTTGGGACAAGGGTGTATGAAATATGATCTAGAGCCATTTCTCTTGAGGGGCATGAATTTCAAAGTTCTCTGAAGTCCACTAAGAGAATTCAAAGGGTGAATGAATAATTCTGGCTTTTTCTTGGTGCTTCTCTGGCTATTTCTGTCCTTCAGTTCATGTTTCTCTGTCCTTGTATATATTAATTTCCAACCTGAACTGGGACCTTCCAGATATTAATGTGAGGAACAGGGGGGAGGTGATGAGTCCCTAACAGAATATTATAAATGAGCACTTTAGCATATGAATGTAGTGTTTTCAAGTAGCAGAGGATACAGCTAATTAGTCAAATGACTGTCTGGCACAGGCAATAGGCTGCAGCTCTTGAGGTGAATAGCCAGTTCCTGAACTAGTTTGCACCTTCAATACATTCGTCATATCAGCCAAACTAATGCTGCACAGCACCAGTTTAGTTTGAGACAGCTGCTGGCAGGTACATCCTTTTTGTATAATTAAAGGAATGTAGAAAATCAGAGTTGTCTATGGAGTTTCTGATAACATACCTAACATACTGCTTTAACAGATACGTTCTAATGGGACAGATTATGATGTCTAGTTGAACATGGTATGTAAGCTATAAGCCGACTTACCTCTAGTGAGAAAAAAAAAAAAATGGCATTGAAGGTTAAATTTTCACCTATGAAAAATCTGTAGCTCTTTTGAGATGTTTTTGGGAGAGAAGGCAGACTTTGAATCAAATTTACCATCTTAGCCCACAGGCTATAGGCTGGAATTGCCTAAAAAACAAAGTTGGTATCAAGTTAGAAAGCATAACACTTACAACATAGTATGTCAGAAAAGAAATTGAACTTTTACAGTTTCTGTATTTATAAACTGTAATTTGATGGATGTACATGAAGAAACAGCTTGTGTTGATTAAGAATGTATGGGTATGTCTTCACTTGGGTTTGGTGGCTGCTTCTGTATATTTGTTCAGTATGTGACTAAACTTTTTTCCTTCTTGATAAAACTTAAGCATGTGCCTGTAATTTTGTTTATTTAATAGCAAAAGGAAAACCTGACCTACTTCATATTTTTTGTCTGTCTGTAGAGATAAATATGATAGATATCCTTACTACACCATCAATGGCAAAGCCCAAACAAGATTACTCGCGTACTCCAGGACAATTGTTGTCTCTCATCAGTTCTTTGGGTTTTGTAAGTAATTTTCAGTGTCTTTGAAATACTTCATTCTTTTAGTTTATTTACTATTTTAAATGTAATGATAGGAGTGGTAAGGCTATTTTTGCACCTCTTCTGCCAGCTGGTAGAATGACTTAGTACATGTTTCCAGTACCGTGAAGTTCTGAAGTGATTACCTTGGACTATAGTCAAATTGCTGGCTATCAGTTGTGCTTCGGAAAACTTGGTAAATGGGCATGGCTAAGCTCCAACGTAAACGTAATAAAGAATGTGTGAAGCCCTGCTTTCAATCCTAGATATTTTGTTCAGGCTCCATTAACTTTTAACCATGCTTCTTTCTGCTTGATAGTATACTGCCGGAATGAAAATGCCAGGGTGCAGTTCAAGTCAATCATCTGACAGTCTGCATGAAGTGGTTTCTCCCTTACCTATGGTCCAAAAGGAAAATACCCCTCTTTCAACTAGATTATTCAAAACATGTGAGTATACCAAGCCTTGTTCTGAGTAATACTTTTGCTGTAAGGCTGTGGTCTTTTAATTTTGTGAGTAGCTTGAGCCCACTTGATAAAAGGTGTGCTTCTATCAGTGTCTTGCTACTATTCTTCCAGTTCTTAAGGTCTGACATGTTTTCACCTACACTACTTGTGCATTTGAAAAAATAAAATCAAAAGATGACATAACTACTGAATTTAAAATAACCCTTTAAGATTTTACAGAAATAGCATCAGTTCTTGGCATACGTTCATTGAAAATGATTTAATATGGCAACGTGTGCTTTCATTTAAATTGTCTTATCTTGCTGCTCATTTCTAACCTGAAATGAGAAAAAAGGCTATTATGGTGCTAATGTTCATATTGCTTTTAAATTCTAGGCAAGTCCCTACTTCAAAAAAATGAGTGAATAGACTATGCAGGAAAGATGACAAGAGAAATTATGATGTCACACATAGCTTTCTGTAACTTACTTTGATGTGAAAACTTGACATAGTGTGAAGCTGCTTAATATATGTTACCAATTTTTTTATCTGTTTGAATTATTTTTTTTTTTCCCCCTCTCAAGATCTTGATACTTCTCAGTTAACTCCTGTGATGCCAGTGAGAAGTTTAACTCCTACTCTACTTCAGTCAAGAAAAAGGTTTGGTACCTCCAGTCTCAGTAGTCAGTCACACACATACCTGTCCAGTATGGAATCAGAATGCTACAGCAGCCCCAGGTGGGAGAAAGATGTAGAGGTCAGGACTGTTTCATCTTCCCACTATAAATTAAAATTAGCTTATACTTCTAACTTGTATATGCACTGTTGCACATCTCCTCTACCTACTTACCCCAGTTATTTCAAGTGTAGAGAAGCCTTCCTGCAGGAGAAGCAGCAGGGTTTGTAATCCTTGCTGAGTAGGAGTTTTGGATCAAACTAGTATTATTTTTCTTCATACAAACCGTAGTCCTGTGCGACATAAGAGGAAAAGCAAATGCCATTTAGCCTGCAGCAAAGGAGTGAAAGAGAAGGCCTCTACTGGATGGTACTGGTTTACCCCTATTCACAAAGTGGTCAGTGCTGGGAGCACTGGCTCTTTGGAAGCTGACCTTATCGCTATAACTTATTAGCTCAGCATACAGACAAAAGAATTTCTCTAAAAGGCAGAATTTGGGAAAAATAATAAATAAAATACACCTCAAACTTCTACAAGCTATTAAAAACTGAAAAATTTTAAGGTTTGTATTACTGAAGGGTTTTGTATCAACTAACACCAGCGATTATAGCTGATACAAAATACTTTCTCCTATTTTAAACTGTTAATGAAATTCTGTACAAATATTGATCTAAAAGAAAATGCTGCTGTGCTATTTAGTCCCTTGCTGCAATTCGCTTTTAGATCACGCACAAAAACTTATGTTTCAAACAATTTACAATTCTTTGTTTTCTGTCCATTTCCCAAGGCCTTGTTTTTAGTATGGTATTGCCAAAATAGTAGTAATATCAGATTTTTTTTGTCATCTCTGAAGTATGATATGTCACAGGGTTGTATGATGGGGTTCTTTGGTTTGGGGTTTCTTTGAAACTGGGAACTTCTGTAGCTTAACTTCTTAACATAAACTCATAAATGCAACTTTATTGCTAGATTTCTTCATCCTTAGGAATTTAAAAATACTGCATTTTTTATTGTATTCCAGCAATCTTATTTTATGTTCTTAGTCAAATGATCAAATTATCCCTAATTGAGTTTCAATTTTTCTAATGTATTATGTCACCTTTGTCACTACTAGTGGTTATAAAGAATAAATAATGCTTGCCAATTTGCAGTTGTGTATGAAAGTAGAAATACGGTATTTTAAAGGACACGCTTCTATAATGCTATAACCCTATTTTTCTTGATGCTCAAAACTTCATGTGCTCATTTGCAGCAAAGTGAAGATGAACTATGTTCTACAACAAGCAAAACAAGTAACAGTGGATCAGATCTCCTTTCAAATGTAGAGTTACTGAATAGCAATGGTATTAAAGTTTTAAAGAAAAAAGAACTGGAATCTGCCATTTCTCCCATCAGCAGCAATGATTCTGGCAGTAGGCAGAAGTTGGGAAGTGAACATTCTGATATAACAGATACTCCTGTGACCACACTTGATGCAAAAGGCATAGTCAGAAAATGTCTTTCTGAAGATAAGATTTGGGAAGAAGAAGTCTTTGTAAATAAAAGAGATAGGACTAATGAAACAGCAGAAACTTCCAATCAACAAAAGTCACCTTCAGGGCAGAATGGACCTGTCAAGCCTATCAAAGAGGAAGAAATTTTTGAAAAGCCAGGTGTAAAAAGAAGCTTTGAATTAGTTGACACTAGTCCTTGTCAGGAACTTAACTATGTTAAAAAAACAAATGCAGAATATAAACGTGGCTGTCAAATCTCAGAATTTCCAGCAAACAGAAGGACAGGTTTGACAACAGAAATTCAATCCTTAATGCTTTGTGATGATGGATCCCTACGTGACACATGCAAAAGCAAGGAAGAAGTTAAGAGTTTCATTGGTAACCAGCAAACAGTAGAAAAATCACTTACTCCAATTATAGCCAAAAATCTTATGCATGATCTGGATGCAGACTATGAAAAGAATGATAAAAAGGAGTATATGAACTCAAGTTTTTTAGGCACTGATGATGAAAAACCTTTAGGAATCCTCAGTGCAGATTCTGACTTATTTCCTGAAACGTCTGCTACAGAAAGCCATTTAGAAAAGCAGCTTCTAGATTTAGACAAAAGTGTTAAAGACCTCTCCTTCGAGGAAGCAAAACCAGAAGGCGTGCTAATAACATCACCAGAGTCCCGAGATGTCTCACAAAACGGAGAGGAAGCACATACTGCCCAGGACTGCAAGCCATTACATGTAAAGGATTATGACCAAAAACACGTGAAAGAAACTTACCTTGACACAGCATCTTCTCCTTCAGAGAAGATGATGGAAGCACTGAATCTCTTTAAAAAAAATGCTGTTGTTTTTCGAAGTTATAATAGTCCAATTAATGTATCCAATGTATCTGAGCCATGTAGCATGGCTTCCTTAGATATAATGGAACTTTCACCTGCTTGTAGTGGCTCTTACCCAACAGCTATTACTCCATTACAGAAAGGAAGACCACATAGGGTCTATCAGGTATGTAGGAGATATGTAGAAACTTTGTGTGTGCATTAGACATTAGTGATCTGAAAGTATTTCAGTTGTTAATTTAGGGAAAATTGAAGTAGTTTGAGGTAGTCTGTCAGAGTGACCTTTGCTGATGGGCTTTCACTTACTACACTTGTGTGGCCAAAATTAAATTTCTGTAAGAGCTTAGCAACATCTGTATGCCACTGGTTTGTCTCTGGCTCAACATGCATTGTCTGTCCACCTCTCCGAAAAATCCTTTGCTCTTACGGTGAACTGGTAAGGAAAGCCTGTGCTATTTTGTCTCATCCTACTTCTAGTGCAGTGTGGTACTTCCTGTGAGTAATTACAGGTTTCCTGATGTAATGGGAAGTCTTTGACTTTTTTAATCCTGCATCCTTCCCAAGACAGTCTGTAAATGCTGTTCAGCTGCTAGTAACTGCTATTGTGTCTGCTTTTTTTTTTATCCTGGTAAAAGTGATGGTGTAATATGTACTGTCAAGTACCCATCACAAGCCTATTACAAAGATTGCTGTAAACAGTAATAGCTCCTTGCAGGTTATGAAGTTTTTGCTTTGACCTTTTTAATCCTTCTGATAGTAACTAAAAATTTTATTGTCCTAAAGTAAATTAGAGCCCCAGTGTGGGAAAAGTAAAAGTATACTTTTCAATCAGTGTTTCCTGTTTCATTTTGACATAGCTCTGCAAGACCTTCATCCAGTTACTTAGGTTCTAGTTGTAGGATTTAAAGCTTTCTGACAGAACTGACAGTGTGTTGAATGGTTTGGTGTACAAAAAGGGGACATTCAAAGTGATATTTTTGGGAAAGCCTTTTTTCCTGATGTCTTTGAATTGCTAGCTTGTGTTTCATCTGCATAAAATTTTAATTGACTATGAAACTTAGCTTGCATTCAGCTGAAATGGAGTTAGAGTAGTATGTGCTTCAGCTCCTGAGAAATAAATGGCTGGTGGCATTATATATCTTTCTAACTTAGATTTGAACAGGAGAACACCTTTTTATATACTTTTGTGATTCTTTCTAAAGTCACATCATTGTGACCTGATTACTTGTTTTCTATTTTAATAGTGGGTTCTGTAGCCTTTGTGGCATAGTCATAATGACTTGATCTCTGCTGCACTGAGGATGAAGTTGGAAACAAAATTATACCAGATACATAGGATTTAAGGTTATATTGAAAAATAAAGAATGAGTCTCTGCAAGACAATTCAGTAGAATGTCCAGGTCATAACAGGAAATATTTCATTGCAGTCAGCCTATTGGCTGTGGGAATTTATTGATCTCTTTGCAAGCCTGCATATTTCATCTGCAAATAGTGTCCCAAATTACTTTCAGAAGGTTTGTATAGCTGTAAAGAGTCACTAAGCCTAACTTGAGCAGAACTTCATCTGCAGGCATTATGCAACCCATAGGATACAGGTTAAACAATAAAGGCTTATTTAACATATTTTGACTACATCCAGTATGCAATATGTGAGAAAATTCAGGATTCTCCTTTTTATTTTAGAAGTATTTGACATATTGGCCAATGAAAAGCAAGCATATATTAAGAACTCAGTGCTAAAATTGAAGGCTATTTTGACATTCTATTTAGTAGGTTATCTTCAGATTTGATTTTGAAAGAGGAGTTTAAGATAGGTTGGTTTGGGTTTTTTGGGAGACATGGATTTGACACTGGAGGAAGAACTTAGAGGAAAAGTTTCTTAAAGAGTAGATATCTATTAACTTTTTATGCTTCAAGATGGTTGAGATAAAGAAATAGAAGCACATTTCACACATACATTTTCAGGGAATGTACACTTTTTTTGACATGTTCTTGACTTGAACTTAAGTATCAACTGTTATACCCATTACTAAACCTGGAGATGGGAGTTTCTCAGCTGGTTTTGTTTGACATCTGAAATATTGTTTCATCTTTTAAGACCCCTCATCAGGGAGATGCTGGCACGCCATATAGAACTCCAAAGAGTGTAAGAAGAGGAGCTGCCCCAGCAGAAGGTGAACGCATCCTAGGGACCCCAGACTACCTGGCACCTGAGCTGCTTTTGACAAAACCTCATGGTAAGACAAACTGTGGAGTTTGTAAATGTTTGAAAGTTGACATATTTACACTTCGAAATGTCTCCAGAACTCTGAACCCTTCAAGTAATACAACAGTGAGTTCTTTAAAAATACCTAGTGCTTAGCTTTTGCCAACATGGATGGCTGTGTTTCCTTCAGCTGTTCCTTCCATTTACTTTTTTCGCAAGACTGGTGGTTTTGGCTGTCTAGCATAGTCTTGCCTGATGCTAATCTCATGCATTGGAAGCTGTGCTTAAGCAGCCTGAGACTTGAATGTGGTTTAGGAATCAGCTTGGTCATCCTGAGTGTCCTCAAGGATTCTTTGGGGTGGGGCAGGGGGGACTTAGTGAAATTTAGTATGAAAAGATTAAGCCTCCAATTATTCTTAGAGTGCATTCCGTGTTTATTGATATCCAAGTGTTATGTGCATCCAGATAACTTTATAAAGTTGCATTCAAATCAGTTAAGTGACCTCATGAAGATTTCTGGCAGTATCTTCCATATAAGTGGACAGTAGTAGCCATCAGTTTTGTTTTGTTTTTTTTCAAAATACTGTAATAAAATAACACAACTTTGAAGAGCATAAGTTTCTTTGGCTCAAATCCTGAGCTCCACTGAGATCAACAAAATGTCTGAAATATTTTCCTGCTAACTTGCAAGAACCATTAACAAAAATTAAATGCAATATATCCTTGATATGTTTGTTGTATTTGTAATTACATTTTATTTCCACCGCAAAAGTATACTTTTATTTTGCAGCACTAATAGTCTTAGGAAAATTATATGAGACGTTCATTGAGGAATAGCCATGACTAAACTGTGGAACAATAAAATTCTGCTGTATGCAGCCAATAGACATTAACTAAAACTGTATTAAGAGATTTAACAATTTAACTGTAATGACTAAAATCACTCAACATATGTAGCTGTTTTGTACTTCCGTTTAGGCATCCTGATTATTTGGCAGGCATTAAAACTGGATAACAGTTTGTCTAAGTAGCACTGATTACATTTCCAATGTAAAACTTGGTTGTGAGGTGATTTCTGTGCAATTATCGAGTGTTTTCAGGACGTCAGTGATAACTTGCAAAGAGTCTGGGCTTTATGTCAGGAAACAAATCTCCCATTACCTTTGGTGAAGCCAGCGTTTTCTGGCTTCGGAACTCAACTTTCCATCACTAAATATTTCCGGTGGTGTTGACTTGCTTGTAAATTCCTAAACTATAATTGGGTTACAAAACTATCTTATCTCTGCTTCTAACTTAGATTTAACATTGCCATCTTTCTTTATTGTTGAGTTACTACCTTAAAAAAAATCTGCATTCCCATGTCTTCAGAGAATCATACTTGATGTTTGTATTCATTAGGTTTTTTGCAATAATTGTAATGTTCTTGCTTCATTGTCTTTTCATACACAGGGACTCTGATCTCTGGTGAGTTTGCTATATGCTGTGCAGAGATGGAGTGTTTGGCATAACTGAACAGTCAAAGTATAACTAGATCACAATTTCCAAGAAAATTGTTTGGGTCTTTCTATATAGAAAGATATGTCCAATATGCACTCCACATTAGAATGTGTGATGCTTCTACAGCAGATTCAGGAAACATCAGCATCAGTGTGACTAGGCTGTCAGAAATCTCTTGTGTAAGCCCATACTTCAGGAGTCAAGTCAGCGTTCTTAAAGACATTGTGTAATAGGAAAGAAACCAGAGACGCTTTTTCTCCTTGCTTCCTTTCACTTTACACAATCAGCCTGATTTACTTTGTGTATGGGTGAAGAAGGCTCAGATGCTCCAGACCTGGTATTTCTGTTTCTTGCTTCAAATATTGGAAGACATAATTTAGCAGGGATATGGTAGGAGTTAATCTAATCTTTAGTTAAACTTTGGGTGGGAAAAATTGCTGTTAAAACCTGTGTTACTATGTTGTTCAGAGTTGTGATCTTATTAGACTTTGACTGAAGCTGGGAATATTTTATCTGAACATCCAAGTACCTCTAGCAACAGTGGATGTGATATCACTGCTTTGATATGCTTAGCTTGGTGGGGCACTCTTACTGCTGTTAAAAGTTGCTAAAAGTGCATTAGGTTACAAGTCAAACATTTCTGTTTTCAGCATTTCTAAACTTTGTCAATAGTCCTTTTGAAATGGCTCAAAGCGTTTGTTTTCTTAATTTTTTTATATGCCAAAAAACCCCTGAAAAATTACACTGACTGTCTCTTCAAGATTTTTTTTTTTTGCAGCAAGTGTGGCATCTATTCTTTATACAGTGGAGTGGGCATGGCTTAAAGATGCAGAAAGCTTAGAATGCATGCAGTGGTGTCTGGGATTGCTCTGCCTGCTTGTTTTTAAGTAGGTTAATAAGATGGGTTTGGCAGAAAAACACACACCCTAGAACATGGAAAACCAAAATTATTTAATAGCAAAGGAAAGATAGCTAGTACCTATGCATTGCCCTAATCAACTGTGGTGTAATAGAAAGTAATTCCAGCTTCTTGTGTGCTGGCTCATCTCTGCAAGCAGTCTTCAATATTTTTACAGAACTTTAGACAAAGGAAAATTAAGTTCAATAGTTTGAATTCTTGGAGTCTTCTCAAAGAACCGAGAGAAAAAAAGATATGGATTACAACACGGAGCACTCATCCAGGCTCTAGAGCAGTTGTTAAAGACAACAGTTTCTTACCACAAAACAATCTCTTGGAGGAGTCAGCTCCTGGTTTCTCTGTGATGTTATATAATTAGATTGTTTAATTGATTAATAATTAGATTGTTCTTAAGAGCCCCCTTGCTTTTATCAGTAAACCCTGGTATTATCTATAATGAATTAAGGAGCAGACTGACTTTAAAAAGTCCTTTAATGTATTTGTAGTCTTCTGCATGATTACGAAGTACAACTTATTTTCTTTTTCTTAATTTCCAAGAAATTTTGCAGGATTTAAACACTACAATTTCTGCCATGGCTAATCTTCACATCTTTACAAATATCATTTGTGTTAGTGTAATGACCTGGATTTTTCTTACCAGGTTCTGCTGTGGACTGGTGGGCCCTTGGAGTTTGTCTGTTTGAGTTTCTAACTGGAATTCCACCTTTTAATGATGAAACACCAACACAAGTCTTCCAAAATATTTTGAAAAGAGGTAATCTGTTTCAGTAATCAGGGTGGGGGAGAAGAGTATGTATTTCCAATGTTTGTCTTATGGTTTGAGTTAATGACTCATCTGCATCTTTGTAGATATTCCATGGCCTGAGGGTGACGAAAAGCTGTCTGACAATGCCCAAAATGCAATAGATATTCTTCTAACAATTGACAGTACTAAGAGAGCTGGACTGAAGGGTTAGTATTAAAATTCTCTTGGGTTCTTTTCCTCCTGAAACTTAGACTAAAACTTTAATGCCTATTTAGGTTCCATTGTATAGTGCCAGAACACTTAACAAGTTGTGGTATTTTCTGTATTTCTTGTGGGATTTTGCCCTTTTGAATGAGGAAATTTCAGGGCTGGGGTGGGCTGGTTTTTATTGAACTTTTGCTTTAATGCTGTTTTGCTATGGATGTGTAGCAGAGGAGGACTGCTCCATGAGCTAGCAAAAGGCAGGTGGCTTGGAGTGGAGAAGGGTGGGAGCAACTCCTGCATGTCTGCTCGGCACAGAACTTTAGCAAAATTAGAAACAGACTTTGAAGCGATGTTTAAAATTTCTGTGGTGCCCCATCATGAGAAGTGACTGCAGGGCACCTGTAATGCAGTGTGTGCTGTGTAGAACACTCTCCAGCTAGGGGATGACAGACAGTTGGCATGACAGTCATTCAGTCCCACTCAGGTTGGTGGTAATCAAAACCCAGCTGCAATTTGCACTTCTGTGAATTTTCAAAACAGCAAAATAGAGCAAATCTACTGACAGCTATGCATCCAGGGAATAAAGTGACCAAGGGGCTTGGACAAAATAAAGCTTATAATGCTTGTATGACCTATTTCAGAACTGAAACATCACCTTCTCTTTCATGGTGTGGACTGGGATAATCTGCAGAATCAAACAATGCCATTCATACCTCAGCCAGATGATGAAACTGATACTTGTTACTTTGAAGCTAGGAATAATGCTCAGCACCTGACTGTGTCTGGATTTAGCTTATAGCATCAAGATAAGTGAACTTTCTCCATGTTTTTGCACACTTACAGGTTGTCCAAGAACACTAGTTTGGTCTTATCTAAATTTCTTTGCTAAATTTAGAGTGTATTTTAAGTTATCAGTCTGTTTTTATTATTGTATCCTTTATTCTAAAGCAAAACTACTGTATGAAACTTAGCTGGTATCAAGTGCCTTCATGCTACTTTGTCTCATGTACTGCACCTTACTAAGAGGCCAGCGCATTGTATTTCTTGGGGCTAATAACACTTGGCAACAACGGGGCTTTTTTTTAATAGCAATGAGTAACTCCACTTAGGAGGTGTGAAGTTATTTCCCAGTTAAACATAACAGGGAAAGGACATAAATGCATGCTAATTGTATCTAATTATAATTTACCTATTGGTGGCTCAGTGTAACAGCAGTCTTGTTTGGGAGTAGTCCTTTCTGACCAGTTTGAATACATATCCACTCTGCAAAACTGATGGTTTTATTCAAGGTGGAAAATGGAAATCTTAACGCAACATTGCAACATCTTACTGCTCTTTCTCCCTTACCCCGAGAAGGGTTAAAAGACAGTGTTGTTCACAGTTAACACTGCTAGATGTGGCATGTGAGGCTGACAGCAGTTCGACTGGTTGTTATCCTTTCCTGGACAAATAGGGGTAGGGAAGGGATACTTGGGGCAAGTCTGTTTAAACTGTTGCATTGTAACCACTGACGCTGTAGGAAGATGGACTGAGCAGCATACATTTTAGCAATTACTTGTTTTAAACAGAAAATGCTGAGTATATGTGTGTTTTGTACTCACCCATGTCAGATGATAGAAAACAAAAAATCACCAGAGTGTTAGCTAACAAGTGAAGTATTATTCATACTGAAGCTGCTATGTATTAAAGACTATAATGGATTGCAAATTAACAGTGTGTTCTCTAAACTCACACCCAGATCTTAGATTTTACTAGATCTTAAGTTACCAGTGTATATTCAGTATTATAAATCCTAATTGGGGGAAGTATGTTTAATCAGTCTTTCAATGCAACACAAAATGTGCATCTGCTAGGTTTTAGATTCTTTTGTAGGTTATTCTGTTTAAATTATCTTCCATATTTTTCTTGTATTGGTATCTTTCTTAGCTTACTGAGGACTTTATCTAAACACAAACCTGAAAAATAAAAGATGGCTTGTGCTAGGTGGTGGTGCCAGCCACTGGCCTCGTGCTGGGAGCTGAGCATTTTGCTAGCCATGTTTGCCAAGTGACTTTCAAGTGTCATGAACTGACCCTTCTTGCAGTGGGAGTGAGTTGTCCCTTCATTGCCCTGCTGCCTGGAAGACAAGATTTATTGATGGAATTCTGAGCAGTGCCTGCTAGGCTTCCTGCTGTCCCCTCGGGTTTCCCCTGGGAAAAGAACGGAGGAGAAAAAGGAAGTTTCCTAGGAGGATCAAGAGAGCTAATGCTTAACGGCTCAGAATGAGTTACCACACCTAGAGCTGGGATTTGTCAGAGTGAAAGTCTTGGCAAGCTGCAGAACATAGAGTGACTCTTGCTCCTTTTGTGAAGGACTTCAGTTTCAGAAAACTTCTAAACTGTTGAATTTTATTGAAATTAATGTTACGTGAAAAAGGTACAATCAATCAAATGTAATACATCACTGAAGCAGTATCCATAGATGATATTCTCTGAATATACTAAGTTCTTCAGCATTTTTCCTGTGTGTAGTTAGAATAGATAAACTGGATGAAGAAGAAGAATACCTTAAATTAAGTAATCACTGGTATTTTATGCAATTTATTCTTCCATTTCTAGTAATCTGGTTTAACAAAACTAATCTTAGAAGAATGAATCTCTAAAAATACTCTAAGAAAATACTCTACAAATGTGTTAGGAAGTAATGTAAACTGAACACCACAACAACTCTTTGTCTTCAGTACTTTACAAATGTTTACAACCTGTTCCTGTTTTTGCAGTAGAACATATTCCCCTCAAGATGGAAAAAACTGCAGTGGTATAACACTTTAAAGATAACCTCTAACTCTCTGAAATAATTCTTAATCAGCTGCAAGGGTCAAGTAAGCTTCTAGCTAAACTTTCTTAACCTATCACAATGAACTACAGAAGTGCTTTAAAGTCTTTTAGGTAATCTAATGCTAGTGTATATAGAGCTAGAGATGATAGTACACCAAAACATTAGGCATAAAAAAACCCCTTTTTCTAAACGAAAATTATGATTGTTCTACCATTGCTTTATAATGCAAAACCATAAATTCTATAGAACAATAAACAGGGCAACTGAACATTCCGATTTGCCAATGTAAACAGTTATCACTATGCTGCTGCCCAGAACTGTTAAATTCTGCAGTTACCACTGAAGACCTGCAGTACCCTCTTCTCTTCAATATCTTGCATTTATCCTGATCATGGCCAACAGGGAGTTGAGTTTAACATGTTGATTGTTTGGGATTTGTGGTGTGGTTTTGTTTGTTGGGGGGTTTTGTGTGTTTTTGTTAAAAAGGTGAATCCGAGCTTTAGTCTTCAACATGGAATTCCTTGTCAACCCTTAATTCCATTGTGTTTTTCCCAACTTATTGCTTGACTTGAAATATTACAGGGAAAAGTACAAAAAGCTGTAATGTAGTAGCTGAAAGATTTAAAGTTTCTTCTCATTAGTAATCAACTGCAACTATTTGTGTAAGCAGGCACAAGTTACTGGTTCTTGGAAGCTGTGAAATACCACTTGGGAAGTGCTCTAGCTGTTATCTGGTGGTTTTTGAAGGCCTAAACTTTGTTTACCTGCATAACCTATGTATAAACTCTGTAATTTCTAGGTTACCTTCGGAGACGATTCATCTGCTATTAGCTGGCCAGCTGTGTGCTAAAAACTGTAGAGATCAGCAACTGTCATGCTTCCTCATCCAGAAGCAGTAGTCCTGGACAGCTCTTACTACCACTAACTTGCTGTTAGTTAGGTTCACCTATAGGCTGCACAATGTTTGGAGGCCAAGACACGGAAATGCTGCTGTGTTGTCTTGAGCTTCCAGTTTCAGCATGATCAGGTTTCACCTATGGTTACTCTTAAAGTAAAATGCAGTCTTTTCCTCTATGTCCTCAAAAAAATTTACTTTGCACACTTTTGTCTAAATAGATAAAATAAAACACTGCAGTCTTGCTATTGCTTGCTTCTGCATTTTATTCTCTTTAAAGCATCTCATACTTGTGATGCTGCAGGGGCACTGGGAGGTGGATTTTTACACAAAGAAACCCTGACTGTATCCCCCTACCTCAAAGACAGTGCTTATACATAGGGAAATACCCAATAGTTCCTAATACAGGTCTGTGTGCCCTTTACCCTCCTGCAACCTTGATTACAAGCCATACTTGTGCATTTAATGGCAGGAGAGCATGGAGTCCCTAGATGGTCTGTGATGCCTGCTGGGAACCTGCTCCTCTACTAACTACAGTGAGTCAGCTGGGCACTTACTGTGCTGCTGTAGGACTGGAGCAGAACAGCTGCCCCTATGTGCGCACACACACACACTTACACCTGGCTCTGTTCTGGTTCCTTCAGCTGAACACTACAAGTAGGTGGAATGTCTTCCATCTGGTTTCATGCAGAGCAAACCTATGTTTTCCAGATGAAGTTTGAGTCACTGCAGGAGAGTAGCTGGATACTTGCTTCAAAAGCACAATTTTGAGCTGGGTGTCTGTGTTTCCAGTGCTGTACCAGGACTGTTCTGACTGTGCCTTCCTGAGGCCGGAACACCACCTGCTAGGTCTCACCTCCACTGATCTGCTTTCTGCAAGTTAAAGCTGTCTCTCTTTGTTACCTGGCAAATTCTAAAAATAAATCACTTCACCTTTAAGATGAAATAGCAGCTAACCAGAAATGTCTTCAAGTTAGGGTAGGTTTGAGATACCCCTAGCAGCTGAGGCCCAGTTAGGAGTTACAGGTACATAGTTAGAAAAGTGATGATGTTTTGTATTAAAACTTTAAGATTGAACCTGCTGCTTCATAATGTAGCCAGCAGGCTCTTCTGTACAGCCAAAACATCCAATGGACAGCACTTATTAAACATTAAGAAAGTAAGTTCAAGATAAAATACAAAATATTAAGGGATTGATTTATTGAAACATGAATAAATAACAAGGATGGCACATGCCTACATTTATTTCAGTGGGAAGTTAACAGTTAAATACCTTTGAGAATGTCTGTACCACCTCTAAAAGCAAGATACCCACATTAACAGGGCTTCAAAGGGGGAGGAGGCACTCCAGGGTGATTCCTCCTCTCAGAAGACATGCTGCTTCAGGTCATCAGGTTTTTTTTTTTTTAGTGACCTTCAAGCTAGAGTATTCTTCCTGTATAATCATTTCTATCCTGTTATGATAAGAACTCGATTACTGTAAGAACTTTAAGCTACAGGCACAACAGCTTCAGGTCACACAGAACTTCCCTTCAGCATCAGCTTTGTTCAAACCTGAGTTTTCAGTTCATCTCATGCCGAAACTCATCATCTCTGGCACACGAAACCGTCTGAATGTTACAGCAGTCTTCAAAGAAGTTCTGATCGGTTTTTTTTAACTCAGCTTTACAACAAGAAAATCAGAGGAGGGGAAAAGTAACTTACAAACCCTGCATTTAACTAAAAACAAGATTAAAATTGCTCTGGTAAAACAAGCATTGAATTTTGTGATTACATTTTTATACAGTATAGCTTGTATGAAGAATGTTTTCCAAACTATAAAAGATTTTCAGGAAGCACAAAAAATAACTTTCCTCAAGGATTATTTGTAACAATAAATGAAAGCACATCAATAATATGGTGAAATTTCTGAAGATTCAGATCTTAAACAAACACAGGTTATGTTAATATATAATTCTTTCTAGCAAATTAATGTCTTAGTTTTCTGTCAAATCTAATTTTAGTGCATTTCTCTTTTTCAAAGATTTAGACAACTTGTATATTAATGTATTTTAAAATTAAGTGTAAAGCATGCTTTAATCAAGCAA